ACATGCCCTGCGTGAGTTTAAGCCACTGGGTCCAGGACTCAAACCACAGTCGACTACATGGGAGTCCTTTGACATAACCATTATGGCATCTTCTGGTCCCTCACGATCAGGTATTAAATCCTGGCTAAACCTCAACCACAGCATTCTAGGAGTTAACCAGGTGAACTAATGACTGTTGTCACCCAGTATTTGCTCTCCTCTTTCTCAGTAATTAAATGCTGAATATATGGCCATGGACCAACAATCTTTTCTAGCCTTCCTTGCAGCTAAGTATGGCCATGTGATTCATACTGAGCCAATGGAATGTAAGCTATGTCCTTAAGTGAGGAAGCGTGGCTCTCTCCTCTTTTCCCTTTCCTGCTTGTTGAAATGTGAAAAGTGACAGCAGTTGTTGTCAATCAGGTCATTATATGAAAGGGAACTGAGAAAGATGACAGCACAGTAAGATGAATGATGCCAGATCCCTGATATGTGTGTGAAACCGCCATGTCAAACCTGGACTGCCTTCCTAAATTATTACATAGGAAAGCAGTATCTTTTTTTTGTTTAAACCATTGATGCACTGTGTTGTCTTTTTCTTTTTTTGGAGAGGTTTTTGCTATAGGGTGCATGCACTCACCAGAAAGACAGAGAGATAGAGAGACAGAAAGCGAGAAATCACCCCTCAGGGGGAATGGTCATGCCGCAATCCCTTCTCTATTCTCCTCTCGGGATCTTGGGCACGCACACACACACGCCTGGCGTGAGTTTAAGCCACTGGGTCCAGGGCTCAAACTGCGGTTGACTACGTGGGAGTCCAGCAACATAGCCATTAGGCTAACTGCTGGTCCTGATGCACTGGGTTTTCTATCCCTTGAAGCAAGTCTGTTTAACCCTAATACATGATATCAGACTTCTTCCGGATTATCTACTCTCTGGACTTTGGACGTATGAGGAAGCAATTTCCTCTGCCTGAACACTTATCACCTCCTGTTCCTTGTCTGCTTTCACTCTTCAAATATGGGCCAGAATGTTACTTTCTCAGGTAAGTTTTGCATGACTTCCCTAGATGAGGATAAATACACTTGCTATTTGGACCAGTAAGGGGTATGGAGGTTAAGGCACTGGATTCCATATGTCAAACTGTGATTCTAGTTCCCAACCTGGTGGTGGCTCAAAAAAACACACTGGGCATGCATCCATGCCTGCCCAAAATCCCAAGAGAAGAGTAGAGGAGATGGGATTGCAGCATGACCATCTTCCCGGGCGGGGGGTGAGCTAAGTGGTTTCTTACTTTCTCTTTCCTCTCTGGAGTTTCTCTCTCTCTCTCTGGTGAGTACACCTGGCCTATGGCAAAAAGGTCTAAAAGGGACCAGTAGAGGCATAATGGTTATGTCACTGGGACTTCCACTTAGTGGAACGTGGTTCAAGCCCTGGACCCATGGCTTGAAACTCATGTTGGGTACATGTGCATGCATGCCCAAGATCCCAACAGGAGAATGGAGAAGGGATTGCAGCGTGGCCATTCCCCCTTGGGGGTGATTTCTTGCTTTCTGTTTCTCTGTCTCTCTGTGAGTGCACATGTGCATGTGTAACAAAAATCTCTCTCAAAGGAAAAAAAAAAAAAAGAACTAAAGAAATAATCTTTAAATACACTTGCTATATGGGGCCAGTAGGTGGCATGGTGGTTAAAACACTGGATTCCCACATGGCTGACCAAGGTACAAGCCCCAGAACTAGTGGCTTGAAAATCATGCTGGGCACATGTGCATGTGACCAAAATCCCGGGAGGAGGCTGGAAGAGAAGAAGCTATGGTGGCCATCTCCCCAGAGGGGTGATTTCTCACTTTCCTCTATCTCTCTCTGGTGAGCACACAAGGCCTATGGTAAAAACCTTTTTAAAAATTACACTTGCTGGGGCCAGCAGGTGGCATGGTGGTTGAGGGCACTGGACTCCCACATGGCCGACTACAGTTCAAGTCTCACTTTCCTTCTCTCTCTCTCTCTCTCTCTCTCTCTCTCTCTCTCACTGTCCCTCTCTTGTCAAATTAAAATAAATAAATTAATTAATATAAAAAGTTAAATAAAATAATTGAAAAAAAATTACACTTGCTATGTATTCCTTATGCTTCCCCTTAGCATAATTATAATTACTTACTTATAATTACTGAGCTAATATCTGTCTTTCCCACCAAACTACATACTCTTTAAAAATAAGTATCTGCTTTTCTTACTGTCATCCAAGTGGTTGGCACTCAATATATGCCCAACAAATATTTGCTCAATGAACTAATGAATAATGCCACAGCCTTGAGGGATTTCTGGACTGCACCTCAAGGATTTCTTGGCCTCTTATTAAGGAACACCTATTTACTCCACCTCTAGTTCTATTCCTGTCAGACTCTCACTGTTTCTCTCCAGTCACCTATGAGCAAATCTGTAATGTGCCAACTCCTTGAGTAAATCTGCATAGCTCCTTCATGTTCTTATAATCCGCTCAGGTGCTAGGGTGAAAGTATTCTATGTACTCTTGGAATTAAGAAAAAAATAAACACTTTTCACTAACATGACCAATTGTTTTAAGAGCCATGGTTCTGTAAAGGTATTTTTTTTTAAAAGAAAACATAAGAAACATACAAACTACATTATCTGAATTTTGGCCATGTACAGGAAAACATTCTTAAAATATTTGAAAGGCCTCTTTCAAATTCTTAAAATATTTGAATGGGTCTTTCAAAGCATTACAAGCACCTGCTAAATAGTTTACGGCTTTATGTACTCACCCTTCATTGACACCAGAGAATCTATATGACTTACTCATTCTCACAAAGTAAGCACCTTGTTGTGATAACATCATGGAGTTTTTTAAAATAATGGGATTTCAGGAAGGACATAGTTGGACATTAAACGCAACAACAAAAGATCTGGGTAATAGTCTGTTTTGCAATGATTCACAGATGACCCTGCACCAGTCTCTTCTTATCTCTAAATGAAGTGTTCAGTACAGATAATTCCTAAAGTCCCCTGCAAGAAAATACTTTGTTGCCAAATCAATTTTCTCTGTTAGTGACTTAGTAGATAAGATGGTGGTGACTATGAAAAAAAAAAAAAAACCTGTAAAACTACATGTTACACACAAGAAACTTGGTATTTGCCTATCAGTTTTGGGTCCTACGAGACAAAATGAATTGGTTTTAAGGATCTAGAAACAAATATATATTTTGGAAAAGCTAGTTTTTGCATGATCAGAATGGCTTTGGACTGTGAGTCTTTCCCATATATGCTGTTGTCTTCCACTTTCATTAGGCGCCCATACTGGATTCTAAAGGTGTTCTGCAGAAACCTGCACCAGCTAATAAAACAGCATGGTCTTCACTGCCACTCCCTTGATCCTCACACATCCTTTCTCTTAAACTGTTCTGGAGCTTCATAAGGATACTCCACAGAGCAGCTGATCCAGTATCAGTGAACGGCATAAATGTCTGCACTACAACTTGCAGAGACATCTGGGCTTGTCCAGCAATTCAAAGCAAGGACGGCCTAATCCAGGCTTTCCACATCTCTATCAAAGGTTAGGAAAGACGTAGCAAACACTTCACGTGGGTCCCGCAATCCCGATCTCCCGTTTTAAGAACGTGTGGACCCCACAGGTTCCTGCCTGGCTTCTCTAAAGCAACCACCCACCTCTTCACGCCCCTGGGGGCGACCGCCCCGCCCCCGCCCCCGAAGTCGCCAGCTGGCCCTGACCTCCTCAAACTGCTCGCCAGAGCAGCCGGCACCGCGAGCCTCCAGCAGCTCCAGAAACTGCTCCAGGGTGACAGACTCTTCGCCGCGGCCCAGACGCTCATCCCAC